GATTCTAAATATATAGAATTTGTGCTATGCGTTAAATTCAGTGGTTAAGAAGTCACTATGGGTTTGAGGCTTTGGCTTTAAAATTTTGTCTTAAGTATATATTTTTGTATTTGCTACAGCAAAGTTTACTGCGCCATGGTGTGGTTCATGATCCTGAAAAGAAGCAGGTAACTACTTGCAGTATTTATTACTGATCAGCTGAAACGGACTTTTAGTCTTTAGGTTGTACAACAGGTATTTAAAATGTTGAAAATAACTGCCCTTATTGTCTCTTTCAGTTGAAATCCCATCCGAAGCGCTCCCTGGCGTCCCGTCTGAGCGGCCACAAACCAAAAAAACAAACGTCTAACAAAAACTTCAAATTCAGATGAATCTTCGGTGCCACAAAGTAGCCAATCACTATGAATCCGCAATTAAATGGTGCGTTGCATTCTTCCAGCTCTGAAAGCTATACATTTCCAAAACCAGACTTCCCAGAAACCTCCCAGAGTTTAATAAGCTCTGATTTAGAGCCCAGTTAAATCAGAAAGTGTTGTCAGCTAAACAAAATCCATTTATTCTGAGCTCAACGACACTGCAAATCCAGTGGTTCACCTTTTAGAGCCCCTCTTAGTGTAGAGTGCATGAGTCATATTCCAGTGAACCCTAAAGCAACATTTTTGGAGACTTACGCCATTTATGCTGGTGTCTCCGAGTCAGGTTTTAAATTCTCGTTCGAAGTCTCTGCTCCCTTTCTCTGCAGTTCTTTAGCAGAAGCAAGCCGAAGGACACACATGGCAGCACGGCCCCCACGAACCACAGACGGTTTCGATACAAAGCCAACAGCCACTGATATCCTCTCCACCATTTGCATTACGACTTTATCCTGTTTAGGGGAAGAAAATCATGAAATCTGCAGTGTACATTTTCAAAGCAGAACTGCACTGTTCATTTCATAGTAAATGTAACTGTTTTATTGGTTGCAAGTTGACGTTTATACAATGAATTTGTGTATAAATAAACGAATTGCACGTAAACTCGGATCAAGCATGCCAGTATTTTTCCAAGCAATGTTTCAGGGTCACCACTAGTTACGTTTTTCGACAGCATCCATGACAAGTTCATAATAAAAAATAATTAAATCATGCTTTTACAATGCAATTCTGTGGCGCAAGACATCGTAGTGGAACAAACATCAATATACACATAAGTCTTGACCACATACTAGACGACTAAATTACTAATGATATCGAATTAAACTAAATAAATAGTAAATTGCTTTAATCAGTAACGTCATGAGCCAGAATGGTAGTCTCGCAGGTAGAAGGATGATTTCGAGAGCTCATATAGGTTCTATATAAATGCGATGAAATTATAAGCTGAGCATACACCGGTAGAAAGTCACTTTCCAGAAACGTAACCACCTCTGATCTTCTGTAGTGGATGCATATTAATTTAAAGACAAGATATTGCTATATGCACAGGTTCAGTGACGAAAAATATTTGTCATAAAACTTCCAGTCCTAATCCTGAGCTCTCTTTATGCACAGTGAAACATTCACTTTAAACAACACAAACATAGACAGGGGACGTGTTTTTGAACAATGCACTGATTTACTAATCCAATGCAAATGAAAGGAAATGCATATTCGGTTTCCATACCAGTGATGTGCCACCGTGAGTTCGTGCTCTGATAGTAAGTCTGACGTGGTTGTTTTTTTCCAGCCAGATGACAACTTGCCGCAGTTTAGTGTCCAGGTCATGAAGGGAGATATCGGAGGAGAAATTCAGCTCCTTTGATTGGACAGGTCCTGCAGATGCACCAAAAAAAGGTCAGAGTGCTGAATGGTAAGGTTAGGTTAAACGAAGTTTCTATTTCTTTAAACAATGCAATGCAAATATCCACAGCTACATCATGGAAGGAAAAGAAATGCCATTTGCATTCAAGT